TGGTTTCCACCTCCTCCACGGTGCAACAGCTCAATTTCATACGCTCTAAAATGCGCACGGCGCCGGGAGCACGACCAACGGATCAGTGCAACTAGGGTCGCAACATCAGCCCTCGCAAGGTCAGCTTGAGCTCCACTCCACAAACGTAAACTAATGATGCGACCGAGAGAAAATCTGGCTGCCGAAATGCACGGCAAGACACGCGCACTTGCAGCATATGGTAGCATAATGTTTCGACGGAACTCAAGAATTGCCGCCCAAAAGGCGAGCGCGCCCACAGAATGTGGAGGCGGGCAGGGCCCGCAGGAGCCAACTTTAGGGGTTCATTCTCCATGGGATCGCCAGCAGCGGCATTTCCCCAAATTAGAGACATAACTGCGGCGCTCGGAAGAAGGAATGCGAACGAGCAGCGTTTAAACGTTCCCTATCCACACTGGCGTGGCCTGGGCCCACTGGTCGATTTACCTCCCTAGATGGGGATATAGGCTGTTCCCTTCGGCTTTCAAGGGGTATACCCCCAACTGGGGTGCTGGGGGATGGGGATCGGGATGGGGATGGAGATGTGGATAGGGATCGGTTAAACAATACTGAGCGAAACCGCCTCACACGAGGTGGAGCCAGGCGGGACCCTCAAGCCCTGCCCTGCTCCATCACGACCTTCATGGCCTCCTGGCCGGCCGTGTCTGCATCGAGGCGCGCCTGCTCCTGCTTGCTCCACTGGCCCAGCTCATTCTCCATGTCCGCACGCGCCTGGTCGAACTCGGCGTTCCAGCTGTCGAAGGCCGCCTCGGCCTCCGGAACGGTCTCGAAGACGCCCAGCAGGTACTTGAAGCCGAAGGCATCGATGGCCTCCGACTTGTACAGCTTGTCTGCGATACCCCAGGGGTGCCTGAAGGAGATCTCGTCCACGGCAGGAATCTGCTCGAGGTCCGCCAGAAACTCCTCATCCAGCGGGGGCATCTTCTTGCCAGACTTCTCCTCGAACACCCTCCAGATCTCCCTCATAACATCGGCCTTGGTCTTGTACAGATCCTTCGACTGAGACTTGAAGAAGTTCTTCATGTCCGTGACGTCCTTCTCAATCGTCTCGCGGGCCTTGTAGTATCCCAAAATCAGGTCAGTGGTGATCTTCTCCACCGCCTTTTTGTAATCGTCATCCGACACGCCAAACTGCTCCTTCCACGCGATGAGATTGGCGCCGACCTCGTTGAGATCCTGAAACAGGCATCTTGGAAGCACCAGGCTGAACCTCTCGCCGACCGGAGGGACCTTCACAGGAACCCCCGCATTCTCGACCGCCTTCACCAACGTGTCGTGCGAATCCGTGTCGTTGTTCTGGAAATAGTACACGTCCTTCATCGGGGAGCTGCTCGGCCAGAACTCCCCCCTGTACGCGGCGTGCGTGGTCCTCAACGCGGCGAAATGGTAGCGGCGCTCCGCGTCGCGGTCGATCTCGACGATCCGGCTCTTCAGCCTGAAGTCCATCTTGGACTCGGTGCCCTTGAACAGCAGGCCGTCAGGGTCCGGGGCCTCAGACCCCGGCTCCTTCTTGTAGTCGTCGGCCTCCGCCTCGAAGAACTTGCCGAGAATCTTCGAGAAGGACTGCACCTTCTCGTCTGGCAGGTCCTTCTTGAACTCGTCGGACTTGCGGAACTTCTTGTTGAACTCGCCCGCCGCCTGCTTCTTGAGCATCGTGCTCTCCTCGGGCGTCAGCGACCCCCTCCACGCCTCGAAGTCCTCCTTGAAGCCCCGCACGGCCGTCCGCCCGGAGCGCGCCGCCGGCGCCCGCGGGGTGACGAACGTACGCGAGACGGAGGCCAGAGTGGCCGCCGCGACCAGCGAGGCGGGCACCAGCCCGCTGCGGCGAGCGGTGGGAGCGGCCGGCATGGCTCGGTCTTCTGCTGCTACAGCCGGGAGGGGGGGCTCTGTGGGGCGGCGTCGGCGAGGCGGCGCAGCGATCGTCCTGCGAGCCAGAGGATGGCTTCAGCCAAAGCGGCTCGAGTGACAACTCGCCGGCCAAACGGGCCAGAGGCGTGCCAAGAACTCCAGTGAGATGCTCATGATACCTCTAGCTCGCGCGCGCGTGGCGGCCGCTGGGGGTCCCCGGACGAAAGATACCCAGGGCGGCCCCCTATCAAGGCCTGGGCCACGGATGCCGGAACTTCTGGGCGCGGCCCTGAGGGACCCCAGCGCTCCCCAGGAGCGCTACAAGGAGGCACCAAACAGGTGGCAGGCCCCACGGCCTCAGGCAACAGAGCGCTCCAAGACGGCCCGAGATGGCTTCAAGACGGCCCAAGAGGCGCCCAAGAGGCGCCCAAGACGGCCCAAGGGGGCCCCATCAAGACCCGAATAGGGCCCCAAGAAGCAAAATTCATTCATTTCGCTTAGATGTTCGAAAGATTGTGAAAGATTTCGGCGTTACTGCCAAGACGGCCCAAGAGACCTCCCAAGAGATCTGCAGAGGCCCCCAAGAAGGCCCCGAGAGGGGAAATCCAAATTC